CTCTCTAGCGGGTGACTCGATGGGCAGGAGCTGAATCGCTGAGAGGCATCTTTCCTCACACGACCGGGGTGGGTGCTGGCTGGACCTGTGCCAGGGAGGGCCTCTGCATGCCTGCTTCCGGGCAGCGGGGCTTCTCAGGCTCCAGCCTGGCTCGAGGCTCCGAAACAGTGTCCCAGTGAACACGGCAGAAGCTGCACTGCCTGTTCTCCCCCAGCCTTCAGTCCAGAGTGTCACTTCCATTGCATTCTATTGGCTACAAGCAAGTCTGGAACCACCCGATTCAAGGGGAGAGGGCAGAGCCCGGCCCCTCCAAGGTCTCATGTGGACCAGGAGATACCACTGGGGCTATCTCTCTGAAAAAGCAATCTACCACACGGCCTTTACACACTATCGCCTTGCCCAGACCACCATCCTCTCTCCAACCTCCCCACCTGCTAATTTTCACCAGCGTCCAGGTTTCAGCTGAAGCACCCCTTTCTAAGGAGCCTGCCTTGACTGCCCCACCCAGGCTTAGTCAGGCCTCTGGCTTACAGATGCCCTTAGCGCCCAGCACTTCTCATGTACCCCAGTCAGTCTGTCTGTCTCCCCTCCTGACTGCGAGCTCTATGAGGACAGGGACTTTCGATTCCTGGTGTTGGCTCAGAGCAGGTTCCACCTGGAGAAGAGACAGACATCCTGGAGAAGAGAGAAGAGGACGAAGGGGAAACAAGGCTATATGCCAGCCTCCAGCTGTCAAGGCTGTAGCTCAAAAAGAAATCCACTGGGTGCCCTGTGCTCCTGCTGACCTCGAGTCCCCGGCCTGCCACAGCCCCACCACCAGCGGCATGACCACCGCCCCACCGGGCCCCTCCAGGCTTTCTGGGGATCCACAGAATGGATGGGCATCTTCACCCCCAATCCAGCTGCCTGGCTGATGCTGTGGCCTGTAACACACTGGAGTCTTTTGCGAAGACCCACCTTCTAAAAAGGGATGGACCGACAAAGGGTGAAAGGAGACTGTCCGAGCATGTGAAGGAGGCTGAGGCAGGAAGAAACATTTGCTCCCTGCAGGGACAGAAGTCGGGTCCTGAGGAGGGGAGGGTCATGATGGACCTGTTTGCCCAAGGACCAAAAACATGATTCATTGTGCTTAGGAGTGGGGAGAACTCCATTAAAATTTCTCTCCCAATTTGTACCCAAACATCAGCACTACCACCATCTTCATCACTAATTTTTTTCAAAGTAAAGAAGAGTCACCATGGGTATCTTGTATGGCTATTGTCCAGGCAGAGGGGTGCACTGTGCCTGGGGGCCCCTTCCCAACCTGCCTGCCCCCACTCCTGGAGAACCGCTCACTTGTGGGCCCTGTGCTGTCTCCTTTCTTGCTCTGACTTACAAGCTGCACCTTGATGACGACTGTGCTGAGGACTCAATGGTCCCACATTATTTCTTCCTTGAAAAGCCTGATTGGGGGGGGGGGTCACAGTAACCCACCTGATCCCGGAGTCTGAGTTCAGTCCACTGGGGCATCCTTGCCCTGTGCCAAGCCCTTTCCCGAGTGGCCTCACAGAACGCTCGCCGCAGCCCTTGGAGGTGGATTACTAGTTTTTGCTCATTTGCTGATGCATGAATGGGACACCCAGAGAGGTGACTAAATCAAGGCCACTCAGGTGGGAAGTGACAGTGCTTCTCCAGCGCTCTTCCCCCCAGCTGTGGTGTCCCCTGGTCCTAGGCTCCCGCCTCCCTCCCGCTAACTTTCCCAGCTCAGATGCTACTGGCTGCTGTGCAGACAGCCTTGGCTCCCTTCCCCAGGATTCCGAGAGGGGACTGAAGTCCAGGAAGGCCATCGGCAGGGCTGCCCTGCTGCCCCCCTGGGGACAGGGACTTCCGGGGAGCCCCAGCTCCCTGCAGCGTGCACACTGTTGCCTGCACAGCTGGAGCAGCTCTCAGCCCATTACCTGAGTTGGAGGGGAAGCTGTCTGCTCTGTAGAGCAAACCGGGAGCTGCCTGGGGTTTGGGGAGCAGGCGGGCCAGGGAGCAGAGCCGGGCCAGGCTGCCTGTGCCAAGGAAGGGGGGGGGGGCTGCCGAAGCCGCCAAAGCGGGCTGGGGGAGGGGCCGGGCCAGCTGGGGCCGGAGCTAGTGTGACATCACTGGGCGGCCGCCTCTGTCTGGGGCTGAGGGGAGGCCCTGAGCCTTTCTGGGGCCTGGGGGATCCTCTTGCATTGGTGGGTGGAGAGAAGTGCCTGTAGCCAACCAGGGTCAGGCTGTGCTCACAGTTTCCTCCAGCGGCATGTAAAGGCTCCACAAAGGAGTTGGGAGTTCAAATGAGGCTGCAGCAGACAGCCTGAGCCTGAGGACGACCGAGCCCTGTGCTGTGCCTCCGGGGCTGGACCTGCAGAGCATGGCCCTGAGGCGGCCGCCGGCTCCCGCCACAAGCTAAGGCAGTTTGTGGGCAGCCCCGCAGGATCCCTGGCCGCCCCGCCCGGCCGGCTGAGCCGCTGTGCTGGGCTGTGCGGGCGGAGCAGAGCCAACAGAGGCGGTGAGGCAGGGCTGCTCGGTGGCCAGGCGTCTGCGGCGTGAGGACCCTCCTGGAAGCCATGGCCAGGCTGCCTCGCTGACGGCCGGCCGAGGGGAAGCATGTGAGGAGCTGCCCCAGGACCACGCAGGAGGGAAGAGGTAAGGGGCCTCTTGGTGGCACGGGGATCAGGGGGCACAGGGAGAGAGGCAGCAGCTGGTCCCGTGTCTCGGGGCTCAAGACCCCTGACCCCCAGCTGGGGGTGTGTGCAGCTGGGTCCCAGAGGGGTCACTCCTGCTTTCACTTGGAGACAAACAAGACATGTGTCAGGGCAGGACCTGTGGATGCTTGGGCAGAGGGTGGTGTTCCGGGGTGAGGTCATGCATGGGCTGGGGTTCCGAAGCTTTACCAAGAACCCTCTCTCCTCCTCAGACAAAGGCCCTCTGGGTGATGGCAGTGGCTCCTGGGCCGCTCAGAACTGAAGTGTGTGCCCGAGTATGTGCCATGCGTAGGTGTGTGCCCAAGGGGCCAGGAGATAGCAGGGGCAGCTGAGCATTCCTGAAGCCGTTTTGAAGTCTGGGTTCCTCTGCCTGGCTTGGAATGACCCCCAGGCAAAAGCAAAAGCAAACGCTAATGCTGTCCTATGGGAGCTGGGAGCCTCATTCAGAAAGTTCCTTGGAGCTGAGCAGCGGTGCCCACACCTTCAGCCGGGAGCAGAGGGGCAAAGGGCTCCAGCACCAGGAGGGATGTGCCAGCCAGAGTCTGTGCCACTGTGACAGGGCGAAGCGCTGCCCTGGCTTCCTCTGCACGTCCGAGGATGCCTGGTCCCTCCTCACACTAGATGGTGCCCAGGTACCCGGTGTCCCACTAGCTGGATGTGGCTGGGAAAAGGGATGACTGGCCCCAGCAGGGGGACAGCAGGCTCCACATCCCCAGTCCCTTGAAAGCGCTCAGCGTTAGCTAACATTTCGAAACAAATTCTTCCCTGATCCCTCCCTCGTGCTCCTGTGATATGTGTGTCACGGGTCAGCTAGTGCCTCTGCTGTGGGATTATGAGAGCTCCCGGGCCAGTTCGGTTACTTAGAAAAGGATCCCTTTTCAGCGGGGCTCGGGGGAAGCTGAGAATGCACTTCCGAAGCTGGCCCCACGCCCCCACACGGACTCCTCCACATTGAGGCAGAGTGAGGCAGTGCTGACGAGCGAGGTTCAAATCCTAGCCCTTCCGCATATGAGCCAATTGACTGGCAGAACACGGAGCCTCTCCAAGCCTCAGTTCCCTTTTCTGTAAAATGTGAGGACAATGGTGCCCACCTCTTAGTAACAGCTGATACTTATATTGCACTTACCCTGATCCAGGCACTTGCCAACTTGTGGAATCCTCACAGCCACCCTATAACCTAAGTGCAGAGTGTAAGTGATGTGCCAAGGCCACATACTAGTAAGTGCCAGCCGCAGGACTCGAACCCAGCACTCTAAACCACACTCCCTGCTATCTAGCATGCCCGGGAAGGCCTTAGCACAATGCTTGGTGTGCGGCAAACCCTCAGAAAATGTTAGTCACTGATTATGATGAACCATAACAATCAGAATTGCAGGGAGGAAAGAGCAGAGACCCACGTTCTCTCTTTGTCCCGTCATATCCTGCTAGGGTGTCGAAAACCCACAAGACTCCCCACCCTGGGGGTCTTCCCGGGAGCCCGAGGGGGGCTTTATGTCTGAGGCTACCTGCAGCTCTCTGGGTCCTAGAAGCCCACACCAAGGAAGGGTGTAGACGCTATGACAAAACAAACTCAGTGTATCTGACCAACCCTGCAGTACGAGCATCCTCCACCCACATAGGCATTGCTTGTCTGCCTGCTGGTCTCCCCACCACAACCATAGTGGGCGAGGAAAGTGAGAGAGCTCCATGCTGCAGGAGGAGACCCCTACCTCAAACCCCACCCCTATCACCAGGTCTGCCACATGGTGGCCAAGTCGGTGGATCTGACACCAGCCAACACTGATGTATCTTAGACGGCGACAGTGGCTTCTCTCCTTTGGCCCCAGGGATCTTGGTGGGCTCCTGAAGTCCCAGAAGCATTTTGAGAAGCTGACATTAAATATCTGTTTTCCTAGCACTAGGCCTCTGGGCTGCAAAGCTCCAGCCTGGAGCCAAGGTGGCTCCCTGGGCTCTCTGGGCAGCCCAGGCCAAGCAGAGGCTCTGACCGACTCCACGGGGCTGGCTAACAAAAATAGGATTAGTTATTACTCAGTGAAGGCAGTCGTGGTGGAACAGATAACAATGTGGGAAGCACATAGCCAGGGAGCACAGGGCGGGCTGCACGGTGTCACTACAAGCTCATGGGCAGAACTAAGCCGCTCCTCCATTAGGTACCCACTGGGCTAAGAAAGGCACAGGCATTATCTTGTTTCATCCTTACCAAAAGCCTAAGAGGTAGGTTCCAGTTTTAGCATCCCATTTTTCAGATGAGAAAACTAAGGCTCAGAGAGGGTAAGTAACTTGCCCAAGATCACACAGCTGATCCCTGCTCAGTCTGGCTCCAACGTTCATACTTTTCCCCACTCCATAGCCCTGTTAAAGGCGTGTTGACTTCTCTTTTCCTGACCCTGTCACTGGGTCCCTCCCTGCCCATGGCCCCAGCAGCCACATCTGTTTTGATTGTAGTCCTATAAAATGCTGCATCATCCCATCTGAAAACCATGTGCTTCCCGGATTCGGATGCATCACTTGCTTGTCATAGAAGCCTACCTCTGAGACAGAACAGGCATTACTGCCTCCCTATCAAAGATGAGCCTCAGCACAGCCACACAGCGTGCCTGTGGGAGCGAGTCAGTGAGCCGGGCCTGGAGGCCGAGACAGGCTGTCTGACTGCAGAGACCCCGCACCTGGTGCTCAGCGCTGCTGTCCCCGCGTCAGCACCTCGGCTCGGCACCAGCTCCGGGGCAGAGCCTGTTTCCTGCACTCCGGCCTGGAGACTCCAGGGCTGCTGAAGAGGAGCGCAGTCCTCAGGTCCACCCTGGGCCACACCTGAGCAATTCCTCAGCAGCCATCAGGGAGAGGCACTGGTAGCTGCATTAGAACAAACATGACAGACAGCAGCCCCGCCCAAGGCAGGTTCACTCAGCTCTGGTCTCTCTCTCTCTCTCTCTCTCTCTCTCTTCTTTTTTTAAAATCCTCTCCCGGGGACATTTTTCCATTGAATTTTTTAAAGAGAGTGCAAGGGAGAGACACAGAGAGAGAAACATCAATGTGAGACACACCAATTGGTTGCCTCCCGCATGCACCCTGACCAGGGCCTGGGATTGAGCCTGTAACCAAGGAACATGCCCTTGACTGGAATCGAACCCAGAACCCCTCAGTCCACAGGCCAATGCTCTATTCACTGAGCCAAACAGGCTAGGGCAGTTTAGGTCCCCTCTTAATCATACTCATTTCCTCTGAAACGGTCTCAATTAACAGCACTTAGATGCCGGAGGGACTCTGTTTCTTGCATCCACAGCCCAGTGGGAGCAGGTGGAAGGTGAAGCTAACAATCCCCAACACAACAGCAGGAGACTTGTAAAGAGAAAGCATGTGGCTCTGAGAGGGGCTTGCAAGTTGGGTGGTGCTGTCCCCACTTTACAGAAGAGGAAACTGAGGCTCAGAGGGTGCAGCACCTCTACTCAGGTCTCTCCACTAGTGGGCCCAAAAGCACGGATTCAAACTCAGATCTAGGCTCATTCTACCCCAGCCACTGCTATTCTAGACAAGCACACTGCGGAAATCTCAAGAATGAATCAATTCATTGAATAGCATTTCTTTTCTGTGAATTTATATAAAACACCCCAAATAGAAGGGTTATTCAGCCACTGGCAGCATGGAGTTGGTGGTGATAGGTCACATCAGAACCTCATTCTGACGGTAGTTTCTATGACAGAACCGTAATTCCCTCTGACTGTAAGCTAATGACTGATTTAATGACAGCTTGGTGGTGATGGGGGGGAGGGGCGTCGTAAACATCACATTGTAATGTTGTAAAACATTATAAAATTGTAAACATTGTAAAACAATACAATGTCCCATTACATGTACAGATCATTGCAAGACATTCTGATCACAGAAATGTTCACATGTGCGTGTTGGGGGAGGGGGGAAGCAGGAAGGGGACAGGCAGGCCTTTTACAATCGTGCTATTGTGTTAGGTCCATTCTCTGGTGAAACCAGCCTGTATGGGGCCAGCAGCCCCAGAGTCTCGGCCTTCCCCTGCTGCCTAGTCCCTCCAGAAAGGCAGGCCCAAGATCGCCTCGGAAAAGACCAGAATGAACTCTGTTCTTATCTCCAAGAGATGCCTGAGGACCCACCCAGCTCCA